GTAAATGTTAGAACTATTTTTCCTACATCAGGGTAATCAGATGGAGACTCGGGGCTTCCGCTCGTGTAGAGCAGGCTGACCCCTGAAGGGGGAGAAGGACCGGGGTGGCAGCAGCACCAGAGGACAACTGTATAATAACATGGAAAAACATTAACAAAATATTAATGGACAAAAAGAAAAGCAAGTTCTAGAATATCAGGTCAGCCCTTCCCGGCGGAAAGCACCGGCTGGAGCGTTCTGAGAAGGTCGGAGTCTGGCAGGGCCGCCGCTAGCTCGCGCGCCGCCTTTGTGCACGGGAGAAGGAAGGGCGCGTCTTTCCCTGGAAAACTGCTAGACTGTTTTTTAGAAACTAGACACTTGACTGCCGTCTTCCAGCAAACTGTCATAATAAGTGAATGAACCTACAGTGTGAGTTGAACCCCCGTTTACCACCTGCATGGCCTTATTCAGGGGTGCTGATTTTTAAAAATCTCCATGGCAGCAGCAAGAAGGCCCGCCTGCGGGGTTCTGGGCCAAAGCGCTCCTGGCAGTGGTGAGCGGTCAGAGGGAGTCACCGCAGGCTGGCTCTGGTGCCACCAGGAGCAGCGCAGGGCAGGCGCGGCGGGGGTGGCCGGAAGGCTGCTGCTCCGGGTCTCACGGAGTCTCTCCGAGGCGCTTCATGACCCTATGGGGCTGCCCCTGGGGTGGATGGGGTGGCGGGGCAGCTGCCGTGCCCCGTACGGATGGCACTGTGGGGTGGGAAGGCTCGTAGGGAAGCGCTCTGACTTCCCCATACCTCTCTGAAACTTAGAGAGGAGACTCTCTACCCTTAAGTGTGAGCAGCGGCTCCACCTCAGGAAGGGACAAGAAGGCAGCCTGCAGCTCAGATCCAAGTCCTTCATGTTAATGGTGGGGAAGTGAGGCACAGAGAGGGGCAGTGACTTGCCCAAGCCACACAGCAACATAGTGGCCAAACTGGCTCCGTCTTACACAGTCCTTGTCACACACCGAGGGAAGCAAGTCCCTCTGTCATCTCTCAGAGCATAAAGCGCAGCCCCACCTTCTCGCCTCCCACGTGGGACGAGCTCACCAGCAGAAGCCCCACAGGTCCTGAATCCCGGGCGGCTGCTGACTGGGAGGGTGAGGCCCGCGGCATGGCCGGCTCGGCAGCGCACACGCCCGCAAAGGGCGCGGTGGCCAGCAGCCCGGCCGCCGGGCTCGGGAGGCTGCCCCGGGAGGCTGCCTGCCCCGGGAGAAGGAGGCGGCTGCCACGGCTGGTGCTGGGAGAAGCCTTGGGGAGTGGACGGGCGCAGCGTGGCAGCCACGCGGCGGAGCGTGCTCGCACGTGAGGCAGCGCCGAGCTGCGCCGCAGGGTGGCCGAGCCGACAGCGTGGCGGAAGCAGACGCCAGGCATGAAGGGCCACACTGCGTGAGCGCCTTCACATGGAACAGCCCGAACAGTTAGGTTCAGAGACAAGAAGATCAGTAGCTGGCAGGTACGGAGGGGGAGAAGGGAGGGACGGGTGAGAGGGCGAGAGGTCTCCTTTGCGGGCCAAGGATGCTTTGGACCCAGACAGAGGCCATGCACTAAGTGCCACTGAGCTGTGCACTTTAAAAGGTTTGTGTTATGAGAATTTCACCCTGGTAGAAGGAGGAGGAGGAGGAGGAGGAAAGGTTGGAGGAGGAGGTTCCAAGTGGCCAGATGGGCCTGGTGTCAGCCAAGGGTGGGGCTGCACTTCGGAAAGACTGTTTGCACAATTCTCTATTGGGACTCCAAAAGTTCTGCTTGTTCTTAGTGCTGCAGGGACACACAGAAGTGCACTGACCCTGCCTGACCTAGGACACAGACCCCAGGAAGCCTCGTGGGCACCCACTCTTATAACAGACAGAATGGCCTGAAAGAAATGGCAAAAATATTTCCTATCTCTTTAAAACATTCCCCCCCCCCCCCCTTTTGAGAACTAAGACCTGCATCTCTGCCTCAGGCCAGTGGTTGGGAAGGCAGGTCAGTCTTTTGTTACTTGTGCTGCAGGACAGGCTCAGCCCAGACCTGGTAAAGGGAGGTCCTGGGTGGAGGTCAAGGGACTGTGCTCAGTGAAGACAGATGATCAGAATTAACACCTCAGTGGACATATAGGAGTAACATTTATCGGGTGTTGGGCAGGTGGGAGGGGAAGGAGGGGATGGGTATATACAAACACAATGAGTGAGATGTGCAATGTTTGGGGGATGGTCACGCTTGAAGCTCTGACTCGAGGTGGGAGGGGGGCAAGGGCAATATACGTAACCTTAACATTTGTACCCCCGTAATATGCTGAAATAAAAAAAAGAATCATCAACTGCAGCTGAACAGCAATTGCCTGAGCTGAGGACCCACCCTTTAAAAGCTCTGCTTTTCTGCTTATTATTAAGAAAGTAATAAACTCCTCTTTCCTTCTCAAACCACTTGTTCTCGTTCTTTTGATGTGGACTCGAGGACACGTGCCGAGCTCTGGGTAGCGCTCCCACCTTGGCCCCCTGCATGGCCTGCCTGACCCAGGGGGCCCATTCTCACCACTTAGAGAACCATCTGTCTCACTGTCGAACAGCGTGGCCCGCTTGAGCGGGTGTCCTCAAACTGAGCCCAGTCTGGCCTCACAGTCCCCTCCTCTGGGCCCAGCTCTGTCCTCTGGGCCCTGCACGGAACAAAGGCGCCCGTCTTCCTGAAGCACCTGCGGGCTCTGGGACGGGCAGAGGCCGGGCGGAGGACTGCTCACGCACTCGGAGGCCTGTGCGTGGGCCTGGCAGGTTTCCTCACCGCTCATAAAGTGTCCTGCCCCCTTCCGCCAGGGCCGTCTGACGCTCAGCTGAGAGGAGGGTAGACCCTGCTCAGGACAAGGTACGGGCTCCAGGGCAGCCAGGGCCCTTAGGGGCTCCCCTGGCCCTTCCTATCAGGCAAGCCAGTCATTGTGAAGGGCACAAATGCCCTCACATGTCCCCAAACCCGCTGGGGCAGGGGTCTCTGTGCGCCCATTCTGGTAACAGGCTCCGTGAGCCCAGACGCGGCGCGCGCTGGGCTGTGCCGTCTCCTCGTCCCTCTGTCCACCGGGACGCGCGGGCGCCTGTGGGGGCCGGCCTCCCTGCCACTCCCTGCCCAGCTCCACCCTCACCTCTTTGAGAAGGTCAAGGGAGGAGCCGGCCCTTCTCCCCCAGCACCCTGCTGAGCTGCGGGGAGCCCTGGCCCTGCTTTGGGGTGGGCGTAGAGGGACTCCGGGGCTGTGATTTCTGCACACAGGGGCTTGTCTCTTTCAGGTGGTTCCTCTCCGGCAGTGACAGGAAGGGAATGCCGAATTAATGCTGGGTGATAAATCCCACAAAAGCCAATAAAACCAAAGCAGAGGGATGGAAGGAAGAGCCGCAGCAGCTGATTACGCGTGTTTGCTGGCAGTCACAGACACATGGCACGCTTTCCAAGGTCTGCATCGAGGAGACATCTGGCCACGGCCCGTGATTTGTGGAAGGAAATCCGGCGAGCAGAGACGAGGGGCCAGGGAGTGCAGGACCCTCACGGGGCAGCAAGCTGGGGAGCTGGGACTCTGCTTTGGGGCTGAGGAACGTCCAGGGCAACGGTCTCCGCGAGCTGGCTGGGGTCTGCCACTACAGGCTGGGCCTCAGGCCTGGGTTCACCAGCTAACCCTGAGGCCTGCGAAGAGAATGTTCTGTGCTGGGAATGCCTGCTGCCCGGCCTTCCACGCCACACCCAGACTCAGGACTCGGCTGGAGGCCCGGGCCCAGCCCTCCTTGCGTTGCAGGGAGAGAGACAGCAGAGCCATCAGGCAAGAGCCGGCCCACAGGAGGACCCTGGGACTCGGCTCTGTGGGTCCCCTGATCACGCCACACACTCTCTACGTCTGTGTGTCTGGCCGTGCCACTCCTCTCGGCAGCCCCGCCGTGCCCTGGGTGCTGAGCCACGTGGGTGTGAGCTCTGCGCCTTGCTCGCTGCTGCCTGTCTCACCCGAGTCTGCTGGACCTGCCAACAGGCGCCTGGCTCTGTGTGGCCAACACATGCCTGTGGTGGAGCCAGGGGCGACACAGCGGCTGACTGACATGGCCAGTCCTCGGCCTGTCGGGAGAGACCAGTTTCCAGATGAGACTCTCGTGTCCTTCGGTGACCCCTGCTGCCCACTGGACAGGAGAAAGCCTGCCTGCACAGCCCCAACTGCAGGCCAAAGCGTCATTGTGACAGCCTGGGAACTGCAGAGAAGCGTCGCCCTGTCGGGACAGAGCAGTGTGCTGGGACCCCGTGTCCCAGAAACTGCAGTGCCCACACCGGGCTGCTCACCTCCTGCTCCCACCGAGCCCCAGGCCCAGGGCCCAGAGGCTCTGTCTTCCCGCACACGTGGGGACAGCGACTTGGTCTTTACCCACCACCCCCAGCAGCTCTGATGGGCGCCTGTTCTCCCTGACACCCTGCTTCAGAAACATCCCTCTTCGCTCACACAGAAGGGGGACATCTCTTGGCCCAGCCAGGCCCTATGCCCCCTGCAGGACTGGCTCAAGTTCAAGGCCAGCCCTGTGAGCCTGTCCTCTCTGCCCTCTACATGCCTCAGCCCCCAACGTCAGGCCAGCTGTGGGCCCAGGGCCAAACCATGGCGTCCAGCCTGCTGCCCTGCTCAGGGCTTCCTGGCCTCAGCCTCACCTCCTGCCTGCTCCTCTCCGGCCACACCAACACCTTGCTGTCCCTCAGCTGTGTCACGCTCAGTCTCACCCACACAGATATCGTCACCCACCCCTGACCTGGTGAACACCTGCTCATCCTCTGGGGTTCCACTCAGGGACCCCTCCAGCCAAGCCTTCCTGGGTGAGTGGTGGCTCCCCGCACCATCTCCCGCTGCGGCCTCGGCCCTCGTGCCTCGCCACCCTGCAGCCTCCAGGGCCGGGGAGGGCCCGACCCCAGGACAGATTTAGAGAAGCCAACCTTGGTTTCCCCGGGACGGGGATCACCCTGCAGAAGAGGTTACAAGGCCCAAGTCTTTACCTACCTCTGAGAAGAACACAGAGAGGATGACCAGACTGATCCAGTGAATTACACCGGCAAACTGGAACGCACTGGAAACTGCAACGAACACAACGAGGACCGATTTGAGGAGCAAGGAATTATGTGCATCCGTAGAGGGGGCTTCACAGCGTCGAGGCAGACCTCTGGGACCTGGGGCTGCTTGCAAGAACATTTAGACCTGGCAGAAATCAGGTTAGAGCACAAGGGCAGCTCCAGCTGGTGTCTGCAGGGTCAGTGGGAGGTTGGGCGGTGGTGCTGTTCTTCCCTCCAGCCCAAGGGGGCTGCCTCCTTCCCTGCAGGCCCCTCTCTGGGCTCCTGCCCGGTCTTTGGCGGGCTTTTCGCTGTAGCCAGACTGACTCCAGGAAAGGAGCCCTCCCGGGGGGCTTATGAGGACACCGTAGCTTTTGGGCCTGGGAAGGCGCTCCAGTCACAGCAGGACGGCCTTTCAGAAATCCAGCCCTGAGGCACCACACACGGTTGGCGGGACTCAAGGCCAGCTGACTTTCACTTTTCATTCTGAAAACTCAGGTGGCAGAGATGGTGGCCTTGGCCAGGGTGTTCCGGAGAGAGAAGGCTGGAGCAGGACTGGGAGAGGGCGCTGGATGCGGGGCAGTGGTGTGAGCCTCCCCTGAAAGCAGCAGAGCCAGCAGGCTGGGGTCTTACACATTGCTCCGGTCGCCTTCCAGGTTGCGGGGAGAGCTGCCAGCCACTGTGCATTCCCGCCCCACCTTCCCACAGTCACTGCGCCAGGGAGGCTTTGGCCCTGGAAGGCCCTTTGGAAACACAGGAAGCCCTGCCCACCCTCCAAGCTTATCAGCCAACACAGCCACGAGCAGGGTGCTGGGGCCACGACAAGGGTCAGGTGAGCTTTGATGGAGAGCAGGAGGAGGACGCGGCCCAGAGGGCAGGCCTAAAAGAAATCCTGGGACAGTGGGGCAGGGGCAGGAATGCTGCGGAGAAGGCGCTTGCTCAGCCTCCCCAGCAGGCTGCTGTCCGGCCTGCGTGGCGCTCCGCTCTGAATCCCCAGGCCAACAGGAGAAGCCCCGTACCCGCTGTGTGGAGCCGGCCTGAAAGACAGAGCCCACAGCCTCTCCTGACACTCCGGGATCTGTGGGGTGGGGAGAAGCCAGGTCCGAGAGCACATCCAAGGGTAAGACTGGAAAACAGGCTTCAGTTGGAGACTCTGGGGTCCCCTGGCTGTGGGCCACTATGACCCATGGAAGACGAGCCCTGAGACGCGCAACTGCATGCCAGGGGGGCCAAGAGGCTGAGGCCCGTGCGGCTCTGAAGAGACCTCCAGTTGAGTCTGAAAACATAAAATCTCTCCCCATTATCTCTCAAATGAATTTCTGTGCCTTTTTTTTTATGGTTTGCTTTAGAAGAGCAATAAATCTCTGTGCATTTTATGGAATTTAAGATACCTTTTATGAGCTGCTATTGGATCTCCCACCAAAATCAATCTCCTGGATACTTAATTTTAAGCAAAGTTCCAGTGTCAGCTGGGTTCTCAGTTCTGCTCAATGCCTTGTCACAGCCTGAGCATCCAAGGGCCCCGAGGACAGCCAGCACAGGGAGAGAAAGTCTCCGTTATGGTCAGCGCTCATACAAAGACAGTGTGGATGAGTGGGAGGGAAAGCACACAATACGGTTTAACTGAAGACAGGTTGAGTGTGAAACCAGTGCGGTCACTTTATGCTGGAAGACACTTTAATTGGAACCAAGGGGCTGCCCGCTGCACAAAACCCCACCAGGCCTATCCGACAAAGCGAGTCTGTGCCCCGGGCACCGTCTTTCAGGGAGCAGGAAGGCTGGCTCGGGGGGCTTCGGCAGAGCCTCGTGTAGAGGATCAGGAAAGGACGGGGGCGTTCGAGAAAACAAGCGCAGATGACTCAATGGGCTGGGGCGGGGTGTGTGTGTGTGTGTGTGTGTGTGTGTGTGTGTGTGTGCTGAATGCAGTCCTGGATTTGCCGGTGGCAGGAAAGGAAATCTCTCTGAGGCCGGCAGTCTCAAGAGTCTGCATAGACAGACTCTTTCTCCACCTACCCGAATGGCCCACCTTCTAAGCCGGCCGAAGTGGAGGACTAGGAGCTCCCAGAAGCCACGCGCTCAGCCGGGCCACGAGTCGGAAGGCAGGCCCTGCCCCTGGGGAGCTGGACACAAGGTCTGCAAGGGAGGGGCAGGAAGCGGCCTCCACCGGGACAGCCTCATTGGTCCGGGGCGCCCCGTCAGAAGAAGGACGAGCCACGGGCATCAGGCTTAATGGGGAACGAGGACAAACACCGAAAGGACCCAGGGGGAAGAGAATTGGCCGCGCAGTTCACTGGGCTGGCGGCTTACAGTGCCAGCCCGGTACTTCTCACCGAGGGCGAGTTCTAACTTCTCCGGACCTTAACTTTCGCAGTCTGTAAATGGGGTCAGACCAGCCTCGCCCTCCTCACAGGCTGCTGTTAGGGTCCGATGTTGAGAAAGAGCTCTCAAAGTGACCGCAGTGCATATAAATAACACTGCCGACGCATAGCTGCGTAAAGATGCGGAGACGCTGCCGCCGTCACGGCTGCTGTCATCAGCAGCTATTACAGGGAACTACAGGCTCCATAAATGGGAACTTTCTTTAACCTACAGAAAATTCCAACCTGGAAAATTCCAAATGGGAACAATAAGAAAAAAATGCATACAGGGGTCCCCAACCTTTTTTTTTCATCAGTTTCTGGTCATGGAATGCTGTGGAGGGGACTGCAGAGGCCACATTGGGTGGAAAGGGGCAAAGTCATGCTGGGCAGATGGAGAGGGATCTGCCAGGAGCATGTCCTCCCTAGCGGGAGCCCCTGAGCCATGGGGCCAGAGCCTGGCAGTGGCGTCAGCTGGGGGGAGATCACAATCTGCTGGTTGGGGACCCCTGATGGCTGCAGATGCACATTGAATATTGACATCATACGTGTTTGCATATGTATCTCTCTTGCTACTCACACTGGAGGAGCTTTATATCTATTAGAAGTTCCAGAGTCAGGAGAATCACCACCAATATTACACAGGCTACCAGGAAACTGTTGAGACTTGCACTGAGCAAAAATACCTGCCACATGGCTGCTCTCTTCCCGCAGCACGGCTTCAGCCAGTTAGACCTGCAGGGACAAAAATGGGGAGAAGGGAGGCTGAGAGTAGGGTGGGACAAGGAGGGAGATCCCAACCACACTCTGCTCCCAAACTGCCCCGCATCACTCCTGGGCTCCACTTAGCTCTAGGCTTTTCTTATCCAAGAGGCCACTGAGTAGAACTGCAAAGGGCAGACATCTCATTACGAGACAGAGCTGGGCTTACATGCTTGGCAACTCACAGCCTCTCTCTGTGCTCCAGTCTCCTGGTCTTGGAGATGGGCATGAAACCAACATCTGGCAGATTAGCAGAGAGTCTGTCTATGCAGCAAGGGCTATGTGAAAATGAGCTGTTATTATTGCATTGCTGTGGGTTTCAGAACCTAGCATAGGCTCTGGAATTTGGGAGAGCCTCAATTTGCCTTTAATAAATGCTCAATGAGTTAGCAAATGGATTTTCCATTTTCAGTTGTAAAAAGGAAAGATTTGAACAAAATCTCTGTTTTTCAAAGTAGGTTGCATGGAACACTAGTTCTATAGAATATTAATAGTTGTTACTTAATATAAAAGTTTCCATAGTTGAGTAAGTTTCAGAAAATTTGGATCAAAGTCAAATGAACATTTTTCTCTGCAGGACATTTCAGTGCCTTTGATATACTATTATGCCTCATCATGCTCCGAAGGGGATTATGGTATCAGTGTCTCCCAAACTTGTTGGACACAAGAGCAAGACTTCGGTGAAACTAGTGTTCCATGGACCATCTTTTGGGAACCCCTTCACTATGTGATCTGGAATGTTCACAGCTGGAAATGAAGCCAATGAAGACAGAATCCTTCCTGAGCAGGTTTGGAAGTGGGGAGGGGCCCCAGGATCTCAGAGCTGGGTGGACCCCTCAGGGTATTGCATTCACTCCCCTCGAGAGCACAGATGGGGTCTCTGAGGGGGCTGGGCATACAGGGCTGGGGTGCCGAGGCCCAACCTCAACTGGTGTGGCAGTCTGGTGCCGAGTGGACCTGCCTGCCCTCCCGTGCTGAGGAAGAGCCAGGCATCCTGAAGTGGCTGAGATGGCACCAGCAGCGAGTCCTTACTTCTGGCTCTGGCCTCAGCCACCCTGGGACCACGTACAAAGGCCCTTACCACTCTGGGGCTCCCCCTACCCATCTGCAAAATGGGGATAATACTTTGTAACTCACGGGGTTATTGAAGGAGAAGTGGGAGAGCGGACCTGGCCTGTGGAACACGACGCAGCCGACATGGGTGGATGGTGCTGATGGTGAAGTGTGTGACGGCCCCAGCACTTGGTGTCACCCGCCCTCCTCATCCAGACAGAGCCACTCTGCTGGAGCTTGCTGCAGGCAGGGCCAGAGCCCACTTCCCGGAGGCCCCCAGGGTGAAACTGGGCTGGGAGGGGAGCTCTGCCTGGAGCTGCTCCCTTGAGCTGGAAGGATTGCCGTGTAGGGAAGCTGCGAGGCAGAGCCTTCTTCCTCACCACCCACCCAGGGAAGCCTGAAGGAGGCCCCGCCCCTGGAAGGAGGGACGAAGCTCACAGCTCTTCAAGAAAGCTGGCAGCAATGGCTTATTCAAGTCTTTATGCATATTTCTAACAGCCGTGGGAACGGCAGGCCCTGTCCTGGGCTCTGTGGGGAAAGGAAAGGCTGGTGTTCAGCCCCGGGACCCGGGAAGCCGGTCCCGGGAAGAGAGGTAGCGCTTCAGCTGGCGACGGAGGACGTGGGGAGGCCGTTTCGGACGGTGGAGTAGAGGCCGCGGCATAGCCACTGCTTCCCGCTGGCTCACAGGCCCCGGCTGCCCACACACGAGCAAGAGGGGCCAGGCTAAGCCCCAAATGGAAGCCACGTGGGGGTCAGGAGGGTCGCTGGATCAAAACAGGATGTGCAGCTAAACTCCAATTTCAGATAAACAATGAGTAATTTTCTAGTGTAAGTGTATCCCAGCATTGCACAGGATATACTCATACTAAAAAATCACCTGTCCTTTATCTGAAATTCAAATTTAACTGGATATCTTATATTCTTATTTGCTCTGACAGCCCCAAACTCAGAGCCAAGGGGCCTCAAGGACACCTGGTCAGAGACACACAAGCGTCCTGGGTCCCAAGCCGGGTGGCAGCAGGGGGGGGGCGGCAGGGAAGGACTCCGCGGGAAACCACCCCATGCGCTCAGAAGGACGCCCTGGCCCTACTCGGAGGCCCACGGAGCGGCCAGCTGTGTAGTGCTTCTGTGTTACAGCCCTTTGCATTTCCAGACATCACCCTGTGGCCGCCCACACCTTCTGATCCGCGCTGACTGCCCTCCGCCCTGCTCCTTTCCCTGCAAGCCAGTGATGTTCTTGCCTCCGCTTCCACTCCAGTCTACTTTCACGCTTCACACGCTCCCCCCACCCCATTCCCTTAGCGCCCCTGCGCCCGCCCTCCCTAGGCTGCAGCACTGACTCCCCCAGGGCCCCAGAGCCCGTTCCCATTCCCGCATCCTCCCTGAAACCCAGTTCAACGCCTGTGGCCCCAAAACTGACATCACGTCACTGTCATTTGGTGTCTGAGCCGAGCACCTTCTGGCAGTTGTCAGGGGCAGCTGTGAGGCCTGCACCCATGGGGCTGGGCGTCTGTCCACCTCTGTGCCTTGCACAGCCGAAACGCGTGGGGTGTGTCCCTAGAGACTGGTTCTATCTAGCTGGAGGAGAGTCCCCAAGGGGCAGGGGAAGAAGCAGAGTGTTTGACTCAGGAGCAGCGTTTGTGTGTATTCAGTTCCCTGTGAAACGGAATCTCGAATCTTGACCTGCCTCCAAAGGAGGAAAATGCTACTTTCTGTTGCTGTTTAAAAGGTTAAAATGTTGACTTGTCTTCCCTTCTGTTTGTTAGAGAAACTGGCTACCCAGACTGGGGGTGGTTACCAGGAAGCTGTAGTGCAAACCGCCAGGGACGTTTCGGACTTGAATGGAGGGAAACAGGTGCAGGCAGCTGTCTGGAGCCAGCTGCGCCAGCAGTCAGCCTGCCTGCCCTGACTCCAGAGCAGCTCCTGGGCCCAGGGAAGGGCCAAGTGGAGGACCAGGCAGGCGGCAAGATTCAGAAACCAGGCAGAGGAAGGGCTGGGCACCGTGGCCCAATGAGAAAATCCTTGCTCTGGGGCAGTTCACGCTCTCGTGGGAGACAAAGATTAAAATGGTAAGTATAACAAGTTGTGTATGAAACAAGGGACAAGTACCACGGAGGGAACAACAAGACGGTGGCGAGACTGGGATGGTAAAAGGTGAGCCTGCATGTTCAGCGGGGTGGTCAGGACGCCTTGCTGGAGAGTGGAGCAGAGGGAGGCCTGAGGCTGTCTGGGGGAGCAATGCAGGCACAGCTGAAGGGTGCCCCAAATAGGAACTGTTTATGGTAAAATCCCCTCAGCCCCCAAAGCACGTCGGGCACAAGAAACACCAGAGTGATGGGAGCCAGGCGGAGGCCAGGGCTTCCCGTTTCAACCTCTCACCACCTAGAGCAGACGCTGCCGCTGCTGCCACAGCCCTTGGTGCAGCCAACGCAGCACCCAAGGAGTCCCAGGCAGCTACACAGCTGGGCCTTGTGCCTCACTGCCCTGGGCCTGTTCTTCCACCCCTGTGCCAGCACACCTGTCCCCATCCACACTCTGCCTTCAGCTACCAGCCCCTACACCAAGCCAGTCTGGGAGTGAGTCCCTGCAGCCCCTTGCTGTACAACTGGGGGGGGGGGCGTTTGGAGCATGCTCTGTGTGACTCCCCCATGACCCCAGGGCAATGTACATGGGGTGGACAGAAGGAGGGAAGACCACCGATCAAGGACGCGGCCGGAGCCAGGGGACAGGACTGGCTGCCGCGCGGGGTGGGGCGGGGCGGCGGGGCGGGATCTGCATCCAGGTGGAGAGAGCGCTAGTGCCCAGGCCACCTGAACCCCAGCCTCCCGGGCAGGACCACGGTCTCGGGGCTTTAAAATCTTTTCTGACTCCAAGGTATAATCAAGACTGAGAACCACTTTCCCAGGCCCTTGATGCTCGTGGACTCTGCGGATCGGCAGCGCCTGGAACTCATCAGCAGCACGGGCGGGGCCCTCCCGCGGCCCTCCCGGGGCCCTCGCCCGGCCCTCCCGCGGCCCTCCCCCAGCCCTCCCGGGGCCCTCGCCCGGTCCTCCCGAGGCCCTCCCGCGGCCCTCCCGAGGCCCTCCCCCGGCCCTCCCGGGGCCCTCCCCCGGCCCTCCCGCCCTCCCCCCGGCCCTCCCCGGCCCTCCCCGGCCCTCCCCGGCTCTCCCCCGCCCTCCGGGGCCTCGCCGGCCCTCCCCGGCCCTCCCCCGGCCCTCCCCCGCCTCCGGGCCCTCGGCCCGGCCCTCCGCGGCCCTCCGAGGGCCCTCGCCGCCTCCCCGCCTCCCGGCCTCCCGGGGCCCTCGCCGCCTCCCCGGCCCTCCCCCGGCCCTCCGGCCTCGCCGGCCCTCCGGGGCCTCCCCCGCCCTCCGGGGCCCTCGCCAGCCCTCCCCGGGCCTCCCCCGGCCCTTCCCGATGCCTCCCCGGCCTCCCGGCCCTCCCCGGCCCTACCCCGGCCCCCCCGGGCCTCCCGGGCTCCCCGCCTCCCCTGGCCCTCCCCGGGCCCTCCCGGGGCCCTCCCCTGGCCCTCCCCCCGGCCCTCCCCCCGGCCCTCCCGCGGCCCTCCCGCAGCCCCGCGTGGCGTCTGCGCCACGGAGCCAGGTGGTCTGGGTGAGAGCCGCCGCTGTGGCCCAGTAGGGTCAGGCGTCTCCGGAGGAGAAGGGGCAGGCAGAGGGAGTCTGGAGCTGGGGAGGAGAGCCGCGGGGCGCGAAGCGGCTGTGCGAGGAGGGCGGGTGTCCGCAGTCCCTGCGCTGGGCTCCTTTCTAAGCAGGAAGGGGGGGCTGCGCCGCCGTCAGACCAGGGCCCGGAACAGAGTCCTCTAGGGCGGGCGGGGCTGAAGCTGCGGGCGTCCTGCTGCCCTCGGGCTTGCCAGGCCCAAGCCGGGACACATTCCGCCTGTAATTAAATGACTCAGGCATTCC